CACGGGAAAAACACAGTTTTGCCATTTTGGGTTTTATTCTGTTTTTGTCAGAATTGGGTGTTACCTGACCATGTAGTGGCCCCTTAGCCATGGTTACACTGCATGTCTTTATATAGTGACATATTCTTTTAATGGGAACTGCCAATATGTTTATTCTTCCTTTTACTTTGTTTCTGTCTTTTACTGTAACCTGATAAATTCCAGGTGGCTTTGTGTCTTCCAGCTAATTAAATAGGTGCCGATTGTCTTTTTAGTTAGAATATGTGGATTGAAATATTAATGTATTGTTGTTTAGATTTGCCAGTTTTCTATATATGATCCAGAAGTAACTCTTACCTTGGGAGTTAACAGCATTTCTTCTTTCACAAGAGAGTTGAGCCAGAAAGTAGATTGCATAATGACAGGGCTGACATGATTGCCTGCTGCTTAATAAGGCACAGCTACTTGTTAACCATCCTGCATGTGCCGGTCAAATGCCGGGAGGATTAGCTTCATTTCTCCTGGCGGGGCAGCTTGCTGGGCCATGCAAATCCAGTGGGTAACAAGCCACCCAGAACCCATGGGCTGCCGTAGCAGCCTTGTCAACCCCTAATGCGCCAGGCGAAGACCTTTTTATTTAAGCGTCATTTTAATTGTTAATATTATTTGATTTTATCTGGCCAGGGCGACCTATTTTATATTGTTATTTTTTGTATTTTAACTTAATGTTTGTATTTTCAAACATTTTAACTTAATGTTGTGAGCTGCCCCGAGGCTTCGGCGAATGGGGCGGCATAGAAATGTTTTAATAAATAAATAAAGCAAGCAAGCAAGCAAGCAAGCAAGCAAGCAAGCAAGCTAGGGCTGCATTTGGATAAAGGTTTGGTTCCTCTAAATTTTATTTAGGAAGCATTATTATTCCCTTCCAAAGCTAAAGTTTAGGCCCTATTTAAAATAACAACTGTAAAGTCGTTGTTCATTCTAGGAGTTGTGAAGCCAAACAACTGGAAAAACAAGTGGCACCCTTTTATTTCCTTTGTCGACTAAATACGTATTGCCTTTACTGCTGAGGTTTCTGTTGCCCGATTTTGCACTGCGAGTAAGTTTTGTTACATGTAGATTAGAATAGTCTGGTTTGATCAAGAAAGATGTGGATTCCTAGATCAGATATAATAGCTACCAAATAGTTTGTTAGTAAGCAGTGAAACAGTTTAACTTTGGCTTTCAGCAAATCTGAAGCAAGCCTTTTAGGGTAGGGTGTGGCAATTCTGAGATGAAAGTATACATAATAAAGTGTTTCAAACAGTTTTCAAGCTATAAGGAAGCCTCTGGTTCTGGCAGCTTCGGAGTTCATTGGTAGCCTTATTATTTTAATGAGATCTGACTTTCTCTTAATTGCCTGCATGATTAGCCTTCTTGAAAAATTTTTAGTCAATATGATGAAAAGTGTGAAGGCATACCGAATTATATAAAGTTTGTGATTATCAAGAAAATACTTTTGGATATGTAGGGAAACTTCACTGTATTGAAATGATTTTCATTGGGGTAAAATCTCTTACTACAACTGATTTTTAATAAGGTATTAATACTTCTGTGTTTGTGTCCCAACAAAGCAAATGTTTTTCAGGGTAATTTGAAGTGGTTTATTAGCAATGCAATGCCACCTAGTGATACATTGATAAAACTGTGTTTTCTAAAGATGAAATCCAGACACAGAGTATTCTTAATTTTGAGACTGGGGGAAGAACTGTATCAAAATTGAACATTAACAGGTTTTATCTAATTTCAGCCAGATGTTGCCATGTTAGTACAGGAATATTTCACAGGAGAGGTGTAGAACTAGTGTGTGTGTGGTTAAAGTTTTATGAAAGTGATTGCGTGAGCGCACGCCCTTGAAGTAGCCAGAGTACTTCTGAGGATGCCACCCTGACCTAGAGGTCTCCCATGTTTTAACAGCCAAGTTTGCTGACCTATTTTCAGATACTTGCATTACTCGTGACATTTCGTGTTCCCTTCACTTAGGAAAAAGTGCTGCTTGCTTTTTCATGAGAATCCATTGGCTGGGGGCTGGGGCAGTTTCAGATCTGTTTCCACTGCACAGCTCACTGGATTCAGGCAACATAGCAAGTCATACTTCACAAGGGTAATTAGGACAATTGCATAGCACGAGGACAGTTGTGCAGCAGGACTGTTGTGCATGACTAGCATGCAGGAGGTGGGGGTGGGGAAGGTTTTCCCCTTGAGATTGCCTAAACTTGGCCAGTGGCTTATATCCCATGATGTGCTGTTCCACTAGTGGATGGGAAGTGTTTAACATTAGAACTCCTTCTCCTCACATGCTCCCCAGTTCTTCTCCAGAGGGTTGGAAGTTCTCCTCTCACCACGCAAATGTGGGACATGACCTTTTTTTCTCTGCAGTGGAAGACAGGATACACTCCAATGGAGCAAAGCTCAGGGAACCAAGATTTAGGGTGGATGCCAGGAAGTACTTCCTGGTAGTTAGGACCCCTGGGGTATGGAATGGGCTTCCATGGGAGGTGGTTGAGGCCCCATCAGTGAGGGTGTTCAAGGATAGGCTAGACATGCACATGGTAGGCATGTCATGAGTGGAGCTGGCTGGAGCTGAGGGTCAGACTAGATGGCCCAGGAGACCCTTCTGACTTACTCTGTTTCTATATGTCTGTGTTTCTTCCACCGCAGACTTGGGGGGGGGGGGGAGATCCAGCAGAATGGAGAATTTGAAGAAGTCCTGTTGTGAAAGTGGAAGTCATTCTTTATGTACATACCTAGGGAATATCCACATTACAGAAGAGGATCAAACCCTTTAACTACAATCTTAAACTAGATAGATGTTATCAACTAGTTCTTCTTGCTAGGGTTTAACTTAAGCAAGAATTCTGCTCTATTGGCTCAGCGGAACAAGTACCTCCAACATCCAGCAGTAACTGCATCAAGTCCAACAGAGGGTTAATAGCTTTCAATAGGGTCAGCGTTAAGCATCACTGAGTAGGCAGCAAACTCATGTTTATCAGAATTTCTGGCAGGCTGATAAGAGAAGAACAGTATCTAAGGAAAGTTCTAACACCTATGAGTTCATTGAGAAACAAAAGTTTTGTAGTCATGTTCAGTGTTCATCTTTGATACATTCTGAGGTACCTATTGTTTACTTTGGAGCATGTTGATTCTTAAATAACCATAGAAGGCAAGTCCCATTGCATGCACAGCTTGTTTAACCTTTGTGCCACAATAACCACATTTTCACCTTCACAGTATTGTGTGTTCTTTTTGAACATCAGATGGTAAGAGTGTCAATTAAATCTATTTCATTTTAAATCCAGGGTGTAGCACAACAAAATGTGGAAAAGTTAAAGGAGGGTGAAAAGAGCCAAGGCACTCACTCTGTGCTGACATTTTAAAACATTTGTTCAGCAGCTGTAGCTTTCCCAATCAGCTGGCATTTTCAGCTCAGACTGGGAGCATGCAGATTCACTGGGCAGGTTACCTCATAATCAAGTGCAGACTGTGTGGGGGATATATTTGCATTCATTTTAAGGTTTATAATTAAAATATTAACCCCATCATTCCATTAAAATGTTTAAGGAAGCTCACATTTTAATTTTAAAAGCAAGTCAACAATTCTGCAAGCATAGAGTGATACTAAAAAATAAACATGACAGAAAAGTAGTAAAACTCAGTTTACTCATCAGATTCCCAGGGAAATAACATTTCTCTTTACCTGGAATCTAAAAGAAGACAACATACTGCTAAGCAGATCTTTGCGGGGAGGGGGAGTTTCCTAACTTTTGAAGGTGCAACACCTTATGAAGACCAAGTAACAAGCAGCTTAAATTGTATCTGATCCCTGAATTGTATTGTGTAAAACCAGAATTCTGAAGTGAGCTCAGAAACCATATCTTTCAGTGCCTATTTACTCTGTTAGTATGTTTTGTATTGTAAGCTGCCTAGGAAGGCCTCAGCAATTATAGATGGTCTATAAATATAAATAAATAAATAAATATTTAAGGGCTTTCCAGATTTTGCACCTTGAAGTATTCTGAACCATCTAAAATTCCTAAACATTTTAGAGACCACTCATGTATTTTAATGTAACAAATCCAGTTTGGATGTTACCAAATAACAATGGTTTGGTTCTTAACTGTGCTTATCTCAAAACCTTGGTTTAGTGTGACATTTGTCTGAAAGAAAGCCAAAGGCTTAGGAAGAAAAGAGTTGCAAGGGGCCTATAAGGCCCCTGAGACCCCCCCCCCCCACTTCCACATGTGGTCCCCATCCAGCTGCAGACCTGTGCCTTTCCAGCTTGGCTGGCTTGATGTATAGCTTAGGTTTAACCTCTAGAGCACTCAGGCACTAAAGATTTGCAATGTACAGGTCATGGGAGTGAAGAAAAAACTATTTCTTTACAATACCTGGTGAAATTGCTTCTTTTGATAGTCTTGTTTAGCCATTACCTCAATTTTGAAATAAAAAGGGAAGAAAGAAACAGTTCTAACAAAGCAATCTGGCCTTCTCCTCCTTGGATCTTTTTTTTTTAATCTCACCACTTTCTCTGCAAAGCAGTCTCCTCCCATGCATCATTCAGTTAATTCCTGATAGTTGCAAAGGCTGTTTTAGAATTCAAATATATTACATGTGGAGGTTAGAGGTCCATAGCTGCCTCTCAGCTTCTTAATAGGATATTAAAACCTGGGTGATTCTACTGCTGCTTTGTTTAACTGCTTTTCTCTCTCTTTCATCCATGTGCATGCAGCTGCACATGCTCTCACAAGTAAAAATCCACCTTTCCAGAAACCAAATTAGAACAAAACAGACAAACTGCACTTTCTACCAAAGAAAATGGGTGTCTGTAAAGGTGCTTTTTCAGACAGCTGCTCAGATGCCATTCAGAAAGAGGCGGAATCTTTTAGTGCAGCCGAGTTACGATTCGTTGACTGCACAGAACTTTTTCTCTCTTAATCCCAACCCCCTTTTTCTTTTGAGAAGTTGACTTTGCTGCTTCTCAGACACGCACGTCATCTGTAATCTCCAGAGATTTTGACTGATACCATGAGCTCTGAAGCAGATGAATCTAAGGAAGGTATGACTTCTAACATTTTTAGAAGGTTTTGCTTTATAGGCAAACAAGTCTCTCCTTCAGAACTGTTTCTGGCAGCAGCACGAGATGATGAATACTGGTTTGTGCTCAGTGTAGCACTGAACTGTTTCTAGGGGAGGGGAGAAAGCAAAGGCATCTGAAGTCTGCTGTTCATATTTCACTGAAAATCCAGCAGCGAAAGCTTTGACAAGAAGGATGTTTGTCTTCATGCAATGGTAGCGAAGTATTGTGAACAGTATTGATACTTATATGCTGGGGGCATATCTGCCAACAATGGTGGCTTGAAAGGGGAAGATAGTGTTTAAAAATGTAGATACACTGTTCCTTTTGCAAAAGGAAGTTGTGTAATTCAGAGAACTGAAAGATCGTTATTTTTAGGAAGAAGCTTTCCCCCCATGTGAGAACACACTGCCTAAGAGAGATGTGTTTCAATTGGTACTGAAACAAAGCTTGTGAAAGTAGAAAATTATTTCATTTACTTTCAGAGTGTGGAGAACATGTGGAAGAGCTGGAAATACTCCTAGAGAACCCAATTATTTATCAGTGTAAATTTGGGAGGGGGCTGCCTGTTGGAGAAAGGGGAGAAATGGCTTTCTGAAATTTAATACAAAAGCCCATTTGACCTAAAAGTAGGAAGGAGGGGAGGGGAAAATGCCTTAGAAAATGTGGGTATATTTAAAAGACGGGAATTTCCTGACATTCTAAGAAGCAAGATAAACTTCTGTTGAATAAAAACTGGTATAAACTAGACCAGTTCAGTAGCAAAACAGGACATTTTTAAAATTAAAGAAAGCTGCTTCATTCCCACAGTTTATCTTGCATCCCCAAAGTATGAACGTTTTTAATGTCTAAGTTGAGTTTCTGATGCACAGAAAACTATGGCTTGACTAAATGAAACCCACTGAATATAGCAGGATAATTTAACAAATACACTGACCTAATGAGTAATTGTGATGTTTTGAGCTTCCGCATTCTACATTTTCCCTGTCAAATAAGAGGATAAATGTGGATCCAAAGCCAATGAATAAGTATAAGCTGTTCTAAACCTTTCTCCTGTGGTAACTCCTGGGTACAGCGTTCCTCTGGCAGCATGTTCCCTCCAACCCTTTTGTATATTCAGATGAGTAAGCAGTGTGCATGCCATGACAGGACACAAAGCTTAAAGAAAATTCTGTTTTAAATAGCCTTAATTTGACATGCATATTCAGTTGTTTAATATAATAGATCCAGAATGCCTCTGTGTTCTTTGTGAAAGGGAAATTGCACCAATGTTGACATCTTGGGCTACTACAGGCTTTCTCTTTTCTGTAACACAGCAGAATTTTCCATGGTGGAGAGATAGCAACATTTTTCCTTGTCAAGGGCCTTTGTGGATAATATGGGGCCCTGCGTCTTGGGGTGGGTGGGGCATATTGGTGGGTGCCTGGGGAGGAGCATAGACAAGTGGATGAGTCACCTCTTTTCTTTCTCCTAGCAGGCTGCCGAAGAAGGGTCAGAGCTCTCTTGCCAGAAGTCTGAACTGTGTATGTAACACTATGGAAGAACTACTGGATTTGGCCCTGGTGGGGTGTGCTTTCTGGGAGAAGCCCAGAAAGGTAGCTGAAGGCAACACAGATTGCTTCTGGCCTGAATAAACTCTGTGGCAAAGGCTTGGTTTGACTTAAGCTAGGAGGTATGTTTGGAAGTGTGAGCCTGGGGAGTACAGTTCACCAACTCTGAAAAATGATGGCAATGGCGACAGAATCATAATTCATAATAATAATAGTAAATAATGAAGATTAATAAATTGAAGAGAGACAGAGGAAGAGAAAAGGAAAGGTGAAAATGGAGGACCAGAAGCCGTGGGGGCTGCCCTCAGCTACTTCCTAACACCTTCCAGGTTAAAAAGAAAATCCATGCCAAATTGAACCATTCTTTCATAGTGTTACAACGTGAAATTTGGTCAAGGGCTGCATGACATTAGGCCAAGAGCTAGGGATGGAATCCAAAGCTCTGTGGAATCCATTTGCGGACTTCCTCTTGTGCTTGGCCTGCCTTTGAAAGCAAGCTGAGTTGGGAGGAAGTCTGGGAGATCCTGTGGTATGAAGGTTACTGAGCCAGAAACTGTCTTCCGGGTCACATGCAGCAGTCCAAGCGAGGGCTGCTGCACTTGGCATGGACCTTGCGCAGCATCCGTGCAGGGCTTGATTCCTGGCGACTGTCACACCAACGCTGGATGTGCTTACCAGAAACGCAGAATCATGGCCACGTGAAAGCAGTCTGCAGTCTGGGGAGCTGAGCTCACTCCCAAAATGGATCTCTTGCACATCCTTACCAAGAGCCATTTGCAGCCCTAGGACCACATTACCTGCTTGTCTATCCCCGAGTAGTTTTGTTTCCTTTTTTTAAGGGGCAATGAAGGGAAAATAATAGCAATACAAGTTGGCACCACCATGAATCCTATTTATATTGCTCCTAGGCTTATGGTTGCATTTTATATTTTTGATAAATCAATTTTAGGATATTTCATTAGTATAGGGAGGTGGTAGTTGTATTTATAGCTAATATCCTGAGATGAAAATAGAATTTAGAAAATGGAAAATAATGATAATATCCAAGTATATATTAATTATGCTACAGTATATCCAGAGATCCCATTTTAATGGAAAATTAATTTTACTGATTGGATTTCTGCATGACTTTACAACACAGTATCATTTTTTGGGGCCTGATGATATCCCATATATTCCCCAGTGGTTGTTGGGATCCTAAGGGAAGCTGTTTTCTGAAAGCTGTAAGTTACAAAGCAACCTCATGTGTATGAACTCAAAAAGGGGTCCTCTGGGGCTTATTTATTTATTTAGAAAATTTCTATGCCACCCCATTCGCTGAAGCCTTGGGGCGGCTCACAAATTTTATTTTCAAGTAAACCTGTATGGGACTGAAGCTTTAAGCAGGTAGATAGAAGCAGTAGTGTTTTTCTACCGCTCTCTCCTAAAAAGACACATCAGGCCTACATGGTTCATGCTTGTAGGCTAGTCTTTCTGTCTAGAAAGGCCTTTGGTTAATTGTTGCTGCCACCCCAGATCCTGTTTTGACTGTTTGACTGCAATGTACAGGAGTATGTGTTCAAATCTAATTTCAATTTGGCTATATTCTATGTTGCATTCAAATGGTCTTGGAAGGTTTTTGAAACAAACAGGATTCAAATTTTTAAAATTAAAATCCCTAAATTAACTGCAAAATGCACTGCAACTTAAGAAAAGTAGGTTCTTAATTTTTTAATTATTTTAATTAGCAACCCATGTAATGAGGAATGATTTAATTCCTCAATAACTTTCCAGGTGTTCTTTTCCCCCACATTGTGTTCTGTAATTTCAAAATGATGATTTCTCACATTGTGGTCTTTTAACAACCAATGCAAAGTAATGCTGTTGCCAAAGAACAGTTAAACTAGAGCCTTGTAATTGATTTGTTAACCACAATGTCCTGTCTTCTGGATCAATACAAATGTGTTTTTCTTAAATTTTGCATTAAACTTTAGTCCAAGCACTATTTATAGAAGTCTCTGCCTCAGACAAGCACATAGCCCAACCAACTAAATATAAGCTCAATATTTTGTTATATATTGCACTGTCAAAGACTTATGACAGGAAAGGGGATGTGAAAACTGCCATCTAATTAGAATAATTGTCTAGTTAATTTGGAACTGATACTTGTCTGATAGTTGTACAGTGATGTCTGTGATGTAGAAAAAATAAATTCAACCAAATTAATTATCCTGATCAGTTTTCTACAATTGAAACTACTCATTGACTACTTTTTCCATTTGTGAAACAATTTGGATGAATCATTTAAAAGGGCAGATATGAATGATAATAATCTACATACAGACTGAGGTGGGAGTTCTGATGGTATTAACTAAACTGAGCAATAGTGACTGAATGTAAGATGTGTTGTATGACTTAATTGGATCGATACTGAAATGTGTTAGTGTTTAGACGAAGGATATATTTAGCAAGTACCAATTGCCCAGGTTTTCCAGGCCTATTACTGAGGCGTTTTTCTTTCACCTTAAATATGTGCATTTAAGCACTTGCGTCCATGTATGCCCTCCCGCCCCTTGAGATCGGCAGCAGAGGCCCTTCTCCGGGAACCCTCCGTGAAAGATATTAGGAGAGTGAGTACCCGGAGGAGGGCCTTCTCTGCAGTGGCGCCCCACCTATGGAATGCGCTCCCCAGAGAGGTCCGCCTGGCGCCATCGTTATTTGTTTTTTGGCTCCAGGCCAAGACCTTTTTATTTAAACGTTATTTTAATTGTTGATTGTATTTATTGATGTTATATCTGTGCTGAGATGTTTCCAGATTTTTAAGGTAATTGTATGATTGTTTATTTGTTTTGGAAGCCACCCCGAGGCTTTTTGCGAAGGGGGCGGCATATAAATGTTCCAAATAAAATAAATAAAATAAATTTATTTATGTATATACTTAAAATCAAGTAGTTCAGATAGACTTTCTAGGCAACATACAGCATTAAAATTACAACTAGACCACAACATCAAAACCATTATTAAAATATAACAAATTGAAAAGATTTAACCAAGATCATTCAAAAAACATGTCCAGGTGAGACAGACAACCAATTTTACTAAAATTACAATAACAGTATCTAAAATTCATTATGCAATTAGAACTAAGCCATTTCCCCTACTTCTCTAATCAGGCGTCTGACTGGAGATTTTGGGAAGTTGTATCTTGGATTATTTTATTTATTTATTTATTTATTATATCCTGCCTTTTCCTACAAAGGGCTCAAGGCAGCTTACATCTCCTCCTCCATCTTATCCCCACAGCAACAACCCTGTGAGGTAGGTTGGGCTGAGAGTCTGTGACTGGCCCAAAGTCACCCAGTTGGCTCCATGACTGAGCGGGAACTAGAACCCAGATCATCTGAGTCCCAGTCCCATGCTCTTAACCGCCACACCACACTGGCTCTCACAGTGATAGGTCTCAGCCTGATCCATGTTCTAGCAGGACTTTTCATAAATCTTTTTTCATTGATTTGAGAGGTTTTCTGTTTAAGTAGTTTTGTTTACAGTCTTCCCCAGCCTGGTGCCCTCCAGATGTTTTAGACTTCAGCTTCCATCAGTCCCAGCCAGCAGGACCAATAATCAGGAATGCTGGGAGTTCTAGTCTAAAACATCTGGAGAACACTGCGTTATGGAAGGCTGCATAAACATGTTTATGTTCTTTTTCCAGAGTCCATGTGGCCCAAAGCTTATTTACAGAGACAGAAAGAATACAATCATACATTGTTATTTAAATATCTACATGCCTTTCAGGGTAAAAAGCTCTTTCAAGGGCTTTCAAGTAATTATAAGGTGATTTAAAATCTAAAATACAATTAACATTAAAAAAGCAGCATAAAAATTCTAAATCAGCAACCTACCACAAGCAAACAACATACTGTAATAAAGAACAATGATGCAGTCAAAACTGCAGGTTAACAATATAGATAGACCAACTATTCATTAAAAGCTATTAGGAGCTACCCAATCTTTATGTTCCATTTGAAAACGAAGGGGGAGCCAAATGTACATCCTGGGTAAGGGAGTTCCATTGAAAAGAACCTGCCTCATGTGCCTGTGAACATGATAGTACTTAATGATGTGCCTGTAGGCAGAGCTTCTGCAGCTCATATTAAAATCTGGGCAGGTTAACACAGATATAACACAGATAGCCGGGTATGAACCGACAGCTTTTTGCTTGGAAATAAAGCAGTATTCCCACCAATTTCTTAGCTTCCAGAAGCAGTAGCATTCTATATAACCTGAAGTTCTGGGACCATCTTCAAGGACAGAACCATGTAGAGCAGGAGTCCTCAAACTTTTTCAACAGGGTGCCAGTTGAAGGGCGGTGCCAACGGGCATGGGCATGGGCCGGTGTGGCAGGAGTGCCTGTGGACGCAGGCCGGTGAGGCAGTGGCGGGCAGGCGCAGCAGTGGCTTGCTCGCTTGGAGATCATTCAGTGAGTCCAAAACCATCTCAGAGCGAGTGGGTGTGCGTGCATTGAGGCCAGCGGCTCTCTCCCTCGGAGATCTCCGAACGAGTCCAAAACCATCTCCGAGCAAGCAAGCCACCGCCTCGCCACCTGAGTGGAGAGGCGGTGGCAAGCAGACACGCTCGCGGTGAGGCAGGCTGTGGCCGCGGTGGGCACAGACGTGGGGAATCCAAAACCTCTGACGCTGGATAAGTAGGCATGGCAGATCTGGCCCGTAGGCTGTAGTTTGAGGATCCATGATGTACAGCATAGTACAGTAGTCTGTTTTGGATGTAAACAGGCATGCAGGAATGAATGTCATCCTAGGGCCAGTGCTCAGAACACATCCAACCAACCTCTGCTTTACTGTAGCAACCACTGGGGGTACTTAAGGTCTTGCGGAGGGTAAATTCCTTCCACCAGCTTTACACACATTTACGTATCGCATTACTTTAACATGGGTTCAGACCAATCCAGTTCAGACCAACAGGCGCCCAAGGTTAAC